GGAGTTCATTCGCCAAAATTGATATCGTGGGTTCGGTTTGTCACCAGCTGTTGTGACCTGCTGGACGGTCGTGCAACTGTGCATCGGTCCCTTGGCCCCCTGCCCTGCCCAATATGAAATATTAAAAGACACGGTGGCTTCAGGCAGTCCTTAATGGAGACAAAGGAATATTACGACAACTCTATTCATAGGTTTATCACAGGATGTTCCACGAGGTCGTGCCAGAATCCCCGTTAGGAAACGAGCTAAAGATGCTCGATTCCGATTGGCTGATATTCTGACCAATCGGACACACCGTCGTTTTGTTCGTAGCCCGAACGTGATAAACCCATCCAATTGACGTGATGTTTTGGTTATTAGGAGTCGCCGGCCACCGTACAGCTTCTGAAACCTCGGGAGTCGAAATACTCCAGGGGAGTTCCCTCACATACATTCAGTACGCAAACAATATGGCTCTCTTCTGTTCAGATCCCTCCCAAATGCAGACGATTTTAAACAACCGCCACACGCGGTAATGCGATCCATGATGCCTTATGGACCAGAGACGTGGGCTCTACGCGTAGGGGAAATACGGAAGATGTTGGTATTTGACCATCGGTGTCCAAAACATTGGTCGGGTCTGGTGGGAGTATCAGATTAGTGGTGCTTAAGTACGCCAGATGGTCCTACGGGAAAGGAACCCTCCCGACAGTGATGAATAACTCACGCTCCATAGATTACGTTGGTTACGACGTACTCCGCATGCCAGAAGACCGTGTGCCTCGTAGTGCTCTTTTCGTCCGGCTCTGTTCTTAGTGAAAGCGACCGATACAGTGGACATTGGACCTGGCTACGGAGTATAAAATCACTAACCACCAAACCTAGTCGGATCGGCAACTGCCGCCTCCCTTGATGGGAACCCCGAGTCTCGTCTCACCAATGGCTATTGACACTGACAGAAGTGGCTCTATCGTGCCGTCAGTGGCGCTCGTGCATCAAAGCTGTCACCTCCAATACGTAGCTACCCGTTTCCTGAACTAACCGAACATGTCATCACCTCCTCACTGTCCCGCTCTCCGATGATCGAAACTGTAGCAGCTGGAACCAATATGCCTACGGTAAACGGTTTCTAGTTGATAAAATGATTGATTGATTTAACCAGACAACCGTGTAGCCAGTCCAGTAAAGTGCGTTCAGTCTTGGGCTAAGTTCAACCCACATGCCCTAGATTCCACGAGCCATTCGACAGGATCACCAGATATCCGAAGAGTGAAATGTGAAACATCTGAGTTCGTTCTAAGCAGCTTGAGGTGCACAGACGAAGTCAGGTCCTCTATGCATGTTTTGGGGACACAGTATACACCCGCATAGAGAAAGCAAGGTTTCAGAGAGAGATGCCTGTTGCCTAATTTAGCAGGAAGTACGGACACAGAGCCGCAACGTGGGTAACATCTTTGGAGTTAAGTAAGGGATTATTTAGATCAATTTAGTTGAATAAAGTCTTATTATGGGAAGTAGAAAAATGCGGCAGCGAGAACCCAGAGGGAACTTGCAACAAATGTGTGATGTGACCGCATATGGGGAACTCAGTCAGGCACATTGGAAACTGGCAGCATGACCGTCACCGACACTGTTTATCTTATCTTTCAGTGTCTCTGGTCTTGGACAGTTGGGTCACGCGGGTCCCACCCTTTAAAGTGCGCAGCATCAACAGCACCCAGGCATACAATTCGAATATATTAGTTGTTGAAACTGTCCAGTTGCAATAGGTTTTGAAAACTTACTGAAAAAACAACGAAGTTGCATCTAAATTTTTTTGGGTGGCAATTACCACCTTTAGCGGACCGTAGCCACCGGTGACAAGTATAACGTGCCACCCCTATTCACCACCGTTGAACACCAGTGGTGAGTTTATTGGGAATACCACGTGTGACTGCTGTTAATAGCTGTGAAGCGTCATCATCATCATCGTCATCACCGTCATCAATGTCAGCTGTAATAACCGCGTACTTATCGTACGGTGGCTGTGGCAGCAACGGGCTCTTTGGTTTTAAAGGTATTTCGACCGTGTTGGATAATGCGCCGGTGGTCACGGTCAACCATTGGGTGATCGGTTATTCGGTTTTTGAGGCCGACCTTTTGTAACCCGTCCTCTTCGGGGGAAGGCAGCATCGCTGTTTCCATTTTTGCTGAAATTCCCGATATACTGAACAAGAACGTAAACGCCGGAAGTCCTTCATAACCTTTGCGTTCAGTTCGTTGCAGGTGAGAAACCCTTCAATCCGGAATACACAGGCGACATCAGTATTGAAGACGACGACCAAGCACAAACAGTGTTGTTCACCATCGGCATGCGCCTTGCATTCACAAAGTGCGCACTAATGCTTTACAACATACGGCCTCCAAATATGTCCACTGCAATTCAAGGAGCAATATTGGAGACTGCGCAACGCTTCACACATCTTGGTAGTTGTGATGGCTCTGACGGGAGTGTCCGAAGAAGTCAGTGCACAACTTCCAAAAGCCCGGATCCCGGTCGCAGACGTGCACCACTCCTGAGGTCAAAATACATCGCTGGGTCTCTAATGTTGTGTATGCTAGGTTGGAATAAGGGTGATGTATGGCCTCTGCATACAAAGCATGTGATTATTGGTTTCGAACTTCTTAACGGGTTTATTACAGAACGGGTATTTGATTGTGGAGGAGATACTTTGGTCGCGGAAAACATTCAGCTGCCTCAGCTGCTTTGGTTGTGCCACATACGCTCATTTCTCATCTACCAAAACAGTATTACTGGCACAAACTTCGAGGTGATCAACGTACGACTTGGAAGAATGATTTGAAAATATTGCGACGAGTTTGGGTGTTGTTGGCTCGTTTGGTCATCCAGGTTATTGCAGCCATGCCCCCAGTGCGCTTTGGCTGGAGATGTTGCTGGAAAAGTTGGCTAGTCGATGTGTGTGGGGTTTACTTCAGGCCTTTAAAAATAATAAGACGGATGAAAATAGCTTGGAACCGATTAAGTAGTCATCGTTTTCGGAAGCGTTTGGTAACAATCGGTTGATTTATTGTTGGGCAACGTTTCGCTTTTGACACCAAAGCTTCTTCAGGTCAAGTGACTGGGCTACAAGGTTGGTCGATGTTTAGGGCGGAATGAGAACCAATCAGCTAAGTCCTGCTAAATCTGTGTTGGGTGTCGGCCAAGGGGTTCTGTGTTAGGGTCGGTCACGAAATGTTAGGTTGTTGGAGAAACCTTAAGTGGATTTGGGTCCAGCTGAGGGTCTAGTACTTCTGGCTCACATGATGATCCCTCCTGAACGTTGTTTACATTTTTCGTCCGTCTGTGTGGATGAACTAGTGCTACAATAGTTTGCAAGGAAGAGGGATTCTGTGACCTTTGTACGGGTTTGGATTTCCACCCCGTGTTTTTTCTGATGATTCTACGCGCATTGACAGCCACACAGTCACTTGTCAAATCGGTTTATCTAAGACCACTCTCCATATGCTCGCCAGTTCCAAATCCTCGATTCTATTCGCGCTGTGCTTGGTAATTTCCACCGCCTCCGCTATCAGTCGCTGTGGTGTGAATCCCGATCCCCGTCTTAAAACTTCCGCATTCTCCGGATCTACTCTATGTCCTGTGTCTAACGCATTTACCACCATCGCTGAGTCTGATCAGCGTTTGGTATTCTTCCGCGTGTCTCGGTGGTCTGTTAATCCTCCTTTTATGCTCCCCAATTCTAGTGTGCAATTCCCTGACAGTTTGTCCCATGTAAACCTTAGTGCAATCGTTGCAGTTAATTCTATACACGCAGTCCCTAGTCCTTTCAGCTGGCAAGGGATCTTTCACTTACACTAAGAGTGAGCGAAGCCTTTTTCCATTCTGGAAAGCTACTCTAATGTTGGCTAAGTTCAACAGCCTTCGAATAACCTCCGATGATCCTGCCTTATATGGAATTACTGTGGTGCCAATCCATTCCTTACTGGGTCTAGATACCGGAGCTAAATCCTTCCTAATTGCCGCCTAATCAAACTCACTGGACATCCAATTTCCTGAAGTTTGTTGGCAATCTCGATTTGAGCTGCTGTTCGGCCGATCTTTTCTGTGCACAGCGCTTTGATTCGACTACACATCGATGAGAGAATACTGGCGTACATGGACCTGGGTTCCGCTGATGAGTAGTTTAAGACAGTTCCTGTATCTGTTGGTTTCTTGTGGATACTAGTTTTTAATTTTCCACCACTCTTATGTGTTATACACTCCGAAAAGGGAGGTGTCCGAGATGGACTCTATCTCCATGCTAAACTTGATTTGAGGATTCAAACTATTGAGATTGTCTGCAGTTTGGTTACCCGCAGTTTTTCAGCCGGACTTCAAACCAGCCACGCAGCGTTGAACACTGAACTTGGAATCCCCGACACCTTCGGAAGTGAATGCTTTTTGCCCCATAAGCGTCATCGAGCTGCTGATCATGACCACCCACTATTTCTCAACTTTGGGTGAAATCCCCAGCTGGTGCTTGTTTAGCTTGACCCGTGACCTTTCCTGTGCTTGGCTGGAGACACAGAACGATATGGCAACTGACTGGTGTCAGTGGCATCCATACTATCAGTTGTTTTCCAGATTGTCTGACTAAGTGCTGAAAGTGTAAGCATCTCGGATTTTTATATTAGGCTAGCCCTAAATCCCCTCCCTCCCCGATTTCCTTCTTTGTCTTGTAAGGCTTTATTGAAACAAATTGACGTAGTTGTACGACGATGAGGCACAGGTATTCTCAGCTGGTGTCGCTGTCGATGGTGCTGATGATGATTTATTACCATTATGCTGTTGTTTTGCATATTGCTGGATGGCCGATCCGTTTCTCTGTCGCTTTTTCGACTGCTGCAACGGCCAGGGTTCTGTACACAAATACACACAGATCCAACGCACGCTATTTTCATTGTCCATATACACGTCGCTCTTAGTGTCTTCTGAACGCATGCTACTCTTATGATACCTCTGATCCTATTGTAGATACATTATGACAGAGGTTCTGCATGTTGAAGCTCAAGGACCGTTGCGGCATTGCTGGGGTTCAGGAAATCGCATACTCGTACACTCGGTTTCTTCCGGCGTGCGAAGTGTCTCTGATTCTGAGGATATACTGTACGAAGTAAAGTGGGGGGTTTCACTGACTTCTAATGAGTTCATGCGACGCCTTGTGAAGACCTCCTACGGTATGCACCCTCATTATCCATATAGTTTTTCAGACGTGTTCTGTGCCCTCCAATACAACACCAACCCGGAAAGGTAATTCATTCCGCGCGCCTGCTCAACCCTTAATCGCCAGGTGTGCTTCGTTCAGTGTTCAGTATCGTGCTGCACTAACAGTATGTTCACAGGAAATCCTTCAATTCCTGAGTTCGTCGTCAGTTAACTAATGTTCTCACCTTAATGTAGAGCTCTCTGTTGATATGGACGATGCCAAAGCAAGTTATCTAATGGCGCAGTGCGAGCTAGTTCTACGTCTGGAATTGATATGGCATCTCGCGGAATTAATCTTTTTACAGGTAATTAAGTGTTCAACTGTTTTGCATTGTTCTTTGTTGAACCAGATTTGTCAATATAAGGCCTTATTTTTGCCTCTGGGAGCACAGAAACCTACGAACTATGGCGACTAAGATGTCATCTACTTTTAGAGAACCTCGTTGTTCTTCCATTGGAATAGATCACTAAGGTTTCAGATTACGAACACTCGAGACATCGATCGTTACATTGGTTTAAATGTTTAAGCCTCCATCGAGATTTTTGCACCGTTACTTCTAGCGGTCTAATCTAGTTTACCCGTTAGCAACATAACGTTCAGCGTACAGACTCAACACATAGTACAGGACTTTCCCTCACTATTATCAGCCTAGCGCCCCCCCCCCCAAAGGGAACTTTTCAACAATAGCAGCCGAAATCTTGTTACAAATGCACCTTCCTCCCCAAGGTCGAATTGAGTCATGAGTTTAGATGTGTTTGTTTCCGGCCTTTCGTTTAGTGGAAAAAACTCGCATTCCGCGCGGTCGTGGTGTCCACGTAAACGACACTATATGTTACCTGTCCTTGGCTTCCTGTTTCGCCCACTGCGGTATATCAGTTCCCACGGTAGTTTGAGACAACCCTTTATGGAGACAATTTAAAGTTGTCACAGTGGTATTGGTAGGGTTACCACGGAATTTTCCGCAAGGTCGTGATGTTCGGGAACCACCGAGCTAAAAATGCTCGACCGTGACTGGTTCACATCCTGACCAGTCGGTGGATGCCTTTGTATAATCCGTGACTGGCTCGTGACACCCACTTAATCAGCGTTATTTTCGGTTACTTAAAGTTGTGCACCGGACAGTGCAGCAGTGCTGTTCGGCGCGGATGTTGCTGTGGCCGATAATAGGGTAAAATGTGACCTCATGAGAGCAGCTGCAGGCTACTTGACGATGTAGTAGGATCAGTTAACAGTATAACATCGAGCAATCCCACTGGGAAATGCTTATCAGATGGTGACTCTAAGAAGTCGGAAATCATGTAATCTATCAAAACTAGTGGATTTGCTGTCTTTGGGACCCATGCACATCAAGGAACAACTAGGTGCCAACTTGTGACCTGAATTTCTTATTTGTCCTCGATCATTTGGAAAACAAGGTGAAGGCTGTCCAAGTGTGACAACGGTTGTGCTCTAGCTTGGAAAAAGCCAAAGTCACGCTGGAATGTTCACGTGAATGCAGGCCGTAGCCGTAATAGATAAGTCTGCGTAGGTTTCTCAGGTATTTTAATCAGCAGGTAAGTACGCGGTTAACAAAACTTAGGCTTTCGCCCTACCGACACCACTGCCGTCACCTCTACTGTTTTGGATACGTTAGTACAGCGCCACTGTTCCATTCGGACATTGTTATGCATACTAGTGGGTAACAATTTAATGAGAAGATCAATGGCATAATTTATGCGTGGATCGTAGAACGAATTATGTAGTGTAGATATTTGTTTCATCACCTCTTACTTCGTGCCGCCAATCACCGCAGCCGACCTGAGCGGAATGGATACCAGGGGTGAGTGGCTAAGTGAGCCGACCTGAGCGGAATGGATACCAGGGGTGAGATGGCTAAGTGGTTAGAGTGCGAATTTATTGACTGGAAGGTCCATGTTTCGAACCCGACCTCTGCATCTCGACTCGTCCTGTCCAGGCTTGGGCGGGCTGACAATATCCCAGCCCTCGAGCTTTTTTAGATGGCATCGCAGCTAGGTATTACAGCTGAACGACAACTATAACGAGCACCATCACCTACATTCTCTTGAAGCTCAAAAACGCCCTGTGGATGTTGATGCTGCCCCCGTTGAAGGCCATTGCTCTAATACATTATCACGTAGCAGGTACTATTCAGCGCGAGCATTTTCATCTGGCGGATAGCTTTTTACCAACGATGAATGGTGAACGGCGTGGCTGCATTCATTCAAACCCAACTGCATTATGTCGTGGTGGAAAACGCCCACTTAGTTTCCCTCAACCACTATCAACTCAAGCTTCTTGTCCTCACAAAGCCCATTTTTGGTCCTTCACACCCCCGAAATTTTTGGTTTCATTTGTTGTTGGTGTGTGGTTGATAGTTACATGTGCCGAACCTCTTCGTTTCCAGAACTACGTGTAGTGTTATGTTTGTTTTTTGTCCAAATTTCTGTTATCTCATCTGACCGACGTTTCTGTTTCCAAAGTGCGTTCCGACAGAGTAGCATGTATGCACGGCTTGCGGATTTTAATTCGAAACTTGAAGTCTTTTCGCTTGGTCATGTGGATAAACTCACATATTCCAGAAGGTCGCAATTATCTTTGGCAGTGAGAGTACTCGTCTGTATCCAAGTCCTGATTTTCCCAATAGGATGTCATTTCTGTGTGCTATTCGTGTTGTTGCACGGGTCTCGCGGCCTGTGACACCCACCTTTCATTCTGCTACATTTTCCACTACTACGGTGAAGGCTACCACTCTGTAGCATAGGGTTTTTGAAAAGCAAACAATCGGACTTAAGACTGGTTCCACAAGTAATTGATTTACCTTCAAAGAATGTGAGGATGTTGATTTGGACTAGTTTTACGGCTGCACAAAAAACGACCAACGCCGCTGGCTTTGTTTTTAAATCGTTTCACGACTTAAACGTGCTCCCGTTGGCTTTACTGGGCGCGACCGGTGGCCTATTTCGATGGTATTGTGGGACACTTTGTACTTTTGAAGAATGGATTTGAGGTGCCAAAGACTTGAACAGTGTACGGAAACTCAATAGTATTCGAGTTCCCGATAGGCGATTTGCAATTTCGGCAGTGGAGCATCAATGTACTACTATGTACTATGTACTACGTACTACTGTCTTTGATGATCTAGTTGTTGTATTTTGAGCGGCGCCCTTCTCTTACAATAACCTTTTGTTTAAAATGACCCCCTCTGTCAGTTTGGTCGTCTGTATTTCCCCCCAAAAAACTAGGCTTCTTCACTAGTTCGCAATGAGCACATGGCAGACGGTTGAAAGGTATACAAATGTGCATAAATCACGTATATCAGTGTTTGGTCGTGGTGTTCGCCATTCTGGGGCTGCTACGAGGCAACTTTCCAGTTCCAGTAGTCAGAGGGAGTATAGACTTAGTAGCCTGCTTGCACACGGAATACCTTCGCCCAGTACAAATATGCCCGTTGTTCACAGTGACGCAGTTAACAAAGAACAATGAGTGTTATGTAGTACTGTCACACATATGAAGCATTCACGTTAGTTGAAGCAAAAAACTTCAGTCAGACCTGACAGCCACCCGAGGGTCACGTGTTTGAAACACTCATTGAGTTTCGTGAGATGCCTAGTGCTGATGGTTTCCAACAAGGCTGAAAGAGCAGTACACTGCTTCTGCGCTTTTCAGCATCGATTGACCTCGCTGACTGTAGGAAATCCCACTTGGAGCTATGTAATTCTGGTGGGGATTTCGTCCTGTAGGTGTAAACAATCTATGCTTAAAAGCCTACATGCACTGTACAGCCGTTTGTTTATTCGTTGTTGGTTTCAGTTCTGTGCTTATCTGTACTTCGCCATACAGAACGAAATAAGGCTACTATATGCAGACACTTGTTTGGGAGGACTATATCAGGCTGCTTCTGGGTTCTTTGCCGAGCTCAAGTGGTTTCACAAATGGTATATCTGTAGCTGCAGCGACTAAATTAAGCACTTCCTTTCAGTTACTGTGTATCCGACTTCTACAGATTGTACGTGTCTTAAGGATCCAAAATAGGTCATGAAACCTCTTTCTTAGTCCCGCAGCTGATTTCTGTGGAAAAGAAACATCGGTTTGGCGAAACGTTTTTTTGAGTCACTTGGGGATTTTCTCTGGATCGCATCGCTGCCTGCCTTAACAGTCCGTGAATTCTGTACACGCAGTTGCGGTCTACAGGTCAACAGAAAGAATATGCAGGTCCATCGGGAAACTCCACCATTATGACTTTAGATTTAAGCTGGATCTGCCTTATCTTGCCCGCATTCGTGGTTAGTCTGGAGCTTGAGTTTCTCGGTTGGTATAAGCTGATTTGATTAGTCTGTTGTGCGTTTTCTTTGGCCGTTGTCGCGTGCGAACAGCTGTTTTGAGTGGTCAGACCGGTAGTCCGTTCGGGTTACAGTTTATCCTCTTGTGAACTACATTATTCAGGTTGGATTCGGACTAGCTTCTTTAAGGGTTTGCCTCATTTTAGAAAGTTGAACTGCTTGGCTCTTTCATCTAGTGGTTGTGGTCGTTCACCTCCTGACTACACTGTGCAAGTGATCAAGCTTTTGTGAGTGGCTTTTTGGCGAGACGTTTGTTTTTTTTTACACTGATTTGTTTGTTATCATCATTTATGTTTTAGTCATTTCCAGAAGGCCACCTTGCCTACAATCTATGTAACTGGTTCCATGTGCAGTCTCAGGAGGCGGCTGACAACGCGCGACTTTTGATTGATTTACACGGCGGTTCTTCAGGAGGACGACCATCTCTTGTCCGGCCCGAGGAAGATGAGCGATTCTGGCCAACCGTTTTGGCTTTGGTTCTTCAGGCACGACCGCACGAAGCGGCTAGTCTGCTCGCAATTCATTCGTACGCGAATAGCCGTGGGCTTCGTAGTCTACGTCAGCTTCTAGTTGCCATGCCTATCGCGTCACACAACACTAAAAATAAAGGTATGTAGCACCCACCTCCGTATATATACAGCTGCACAGGTAGGAAATGTTACCTTGGAGATGTTACCCCAAAAATTAGCGGTATTTGCCGGATGCCCAGTGAAACCTGTTTATCAGTGTAATAATGATATCACCTCATCTGGTGACGATAAGTATGCACTCTGACTGCCCCATTAGGTGTACATATAACCAACTGGTTTGGGGATTCTAGTTCATGAGTTGCAGTATGACAGTACACCATACTGATTCAAATGATGCATAATAATAATAATAATGATAATAATAATAATCGTTCAGCTCTACTTCCGTTTCGGAGCCTGGCTGCTTTGCTATCCAAAGAAAGAACGAGTGATGGGATACTGCCAGGTGACCCAACCCTAGACAGGGGAGTCTAGAGAATGGGGTCAGTTTGAACCACGGACCCTCCAATCAGTAAATTCGCCTCTAAACACTGAGCCATCTCGCCCCCTCATATTGATTCAATTCAACGTTTACTCACGCGTCATTTTCTTTTGGATTCCCCACGCCATTTAGGGCGTTCAATTTCCACATAACGCTCCTGGGAAGAATTGCGAATGCTGCCGGCATTACTCCTCATATTTTCCGACTACGTGTTTTCTGTCCATAAGCACCGTATCTTTAACGGCGTTAAAACTATGAACTACCCTTCAGATTTGTTAATAAACCCAAACGTGTCTTGACATTTGGTTTTCCTGTTATGTTTTTCTGAAACTCTTCCTTCTGGACAGGTCACGTTATTACGTATTCTTTCTTCAGAAATAAACAGTGGTCATCTTTTCGAACGGTTCGCACCATTAGCTGGTTTGGGTAGTAGTGCACCATATTTCATCGCTACTTATATACTACTATTGCCTTGCTGAGTAGAGTGAATGTCAGCAATTTGAAAAACACAGACGAGGTGCAACGGCTTTGGGCTTGCTTGTTTCGTTGCTCGCTTATAGAGTCAATGCTTTTTGGGAGGAATTACAAAAATCTTACATGGATTGGTTTCTCGGAGTGACCTTTCATTTCGGTCAAACAGCCAGTGTGCGTGCTGCTGACCATGACTTCTTGAGCAGTGACGAAGCCCTCCCTGGCCAGTTGCCATGCTCCATGAACGGACCAACAGCCACCAATATCCCACTTAATGGTGATCAGAATGTCTTCGTAGTTTCGTTAGTTAAGGAAAACCTGAAAGCATTCTACGAGATTTTCTCTGGTTTTGAAGGGGTTTGTGCATTAGGAATTTCTCACGAAATGTTTTGGTTGGCTAAGAGTATTCCCTCCAAGGTGAGATTTTGCATTTTGGTAGGTTGCTCACTGATGGATCACTCTATTCTTAATGGAGGGCTTAGTTTCGATTTAGCCTGGCTTGCTGTAGATAGCTATTGAGCTTGCCTAATACTCGAGATGAAAGCCTCGCATGACGGTTGTTTCGTACTGATATCAATCTTAGCTAGCAACACTGCAATAGTTGACCCTGAAGATAGCACAGAAAATATCTGACAGCCTAGCCTATTCTGGAGAGTGTTGTTTTTTGGAGAACCCACCAGCTAGTTATGAAAGCCCTTCGAATACTTTTGGATCTATAGCTTTAGACGGTAGTCCTTGAATTGAGACCCTTTCTCCAGACCTTGTGCAGCTCCGGATGAATTTGAGCGACGTTGTTGACTTCACCAAAAACAGTTCTGATTGTATGTGTGTGTGGATTTCCTTTTTACGTACTACTTCACCAGTTGCTTCTCTCAGTCAGCCTCTCTTTGTATTTCCGCAACGCTTGACCTCTTTCTTTGCAAACAACGAGGAAAAGCGTCAAGTAATCCTCAGTTTTTATGAACTAGTGAAGCATAACGGCGAATTCTAGCAGCTAACTGTCCTAATATTTTTGACTACCGCTACAGTTTCTCGTTCAGCTCCACAGGTTTTGTAGCAAGGTCTCGTTTCCGTCAGTAGCACTATGGTCCATGCTATGTTCGGTGATAAGGTGGCTTCCAACAAGAGAACCTGGATCTTTTACTCAATGCTTTCGATTAGGTTCTTACTAATGACCGGTGATCGATCATTCGCACGGCTGGCTAGTGGGTGGTAAAAATGTGACACTGTATGATGCTATCGCCCAAGGTATGCCACGTCCACTGGTAGCTGGAGCAGCAGAAGACCACTCAGCTACTCCATTTTGAAGCCTCTGAAGTGTTGCGACCACTTCTCACTTGCTTCAATTAGGACACAAATCCATTTCATACTACCAAGGTCATTTTTGTCAATTCTTTGGGAACTTCAAGGTTGTTACTTTCTCCTGTTGACAGGAGGTGGCGTTTAAACTTCAGATCCTCTGTCGCCAAAAATACAAATCTCTCTTTGGAATTCTTCAGAAAATCTGGAAATTTAAAATTCAACCTTTCCTTTTATAACTCCGGAGAACCTAGCAATCAAACGTTTTGCATCATTGTTTATAGGAACCTGGCGCAATTCAGGTGTAGCATTTTCCCAGGCGTGGAATTACTGGCAGTCGGAGTGTCGGCGTAGACTCAGCGGTGGCGAATTCGATCACACCGGAAATGACCCAGAATCGACCCAGTACGTAAAACTCATCGTGTCCATTCTTGCAGGATCGTCAGCTTCTTGGGATGATCCACTTATTTTGCTCGTCACTGGTGGATCACATGCGTGGTACTTCCGCTTTGTTTCGTTCCTGTTTTACACCGATCAGCTGGTTACCATGGATGCACTGAGTGGTCATCTAGACGCTTGGTTAAACGGTCGAGGTATCTCGGAGGGTGAATCTGACTCCGATCTAGACCAGGTATGTTTTGCCTCCATCTGTCTAAGCTCTGAACATTACAGTTATGTACACATCCTGTTCCTCTTCAAGCGGATAGAATAACTGTTTTAAAAAAATAGTTTACTGAATTCGTCAGCGCACGAAACAATCGTTGTACAAATTCATTTCTGATTTATTCGGTAATAAGTGGTGTTTCCGTAGTTTGGACAACCGTTTGTTGCTTTCGTTGATGGGTTATTACATCGCTTGAATAACGTTCGTTGTCCTACATAACTGATAGTGATCATTTCTGTGTGGGTTAATTGATTGGACCCCTGTGAACTGCGGGTTATACGTTGCTAGGTTACTTATCACGAGGCAGTTATTTGGACATCGACCCAATATTCACATCGTTCAGTTTATCAGATATCAGGTCCAACAGAAAGCAACATAAAATTCAATCAAAATGCTTTCCGCGATTATTTACTAGATCTACTCCAAACAATCATTATTGGCATTAATTTTAGCCGGATGTTTGAATGTCCAGTTTCGTTGTCCTTCAATAAAAGAAAAGCGACCGGCTGGCGTGCTCAACGTCGGCGCAAGATGCACAAGCAATGTTGACAGCCATTTTTAGTTATACGCTTTGCAATCACGGCAGCACGGCATTTCTACGTGACCAAAGTGTCCTAACTAATCGGGGACCAAAACAGATCACTTCGCAGTCACCTACAGTTGGCGATATAACGTGGATTATTGTCGCTCGTTTTGGATTAGTCAGACAGTCTTCTTCGCTAGCGATCAGCGCTTGCTCAGAGGGCACACCCATATGAGCCCGATGTAGTTCAATGATTGAGGGGCAAGCCTACTAACCGGAAGATTCGTGGTTCGAACCCAACCCCAGCACCTAGATTGCTTCTGTCCACGTTTGCACAGCTTGGCAGAATTCCGACCCTCGTGACCCATCGGATGACATGGCAGCTGACCGTTCAATAATGTCATTCCTATACATCTCTATGTGGTGCAAGCAGATGCCCTATCGACTCTGCAATAGGACGATAAAAAGCCCTCAAAAACGCGTAGCTTCACATCTCATCGTGCAAGCAGAAGTCAGATGTTGACAAACACCAGAAATAAATTTTAGCTGCAATCCGGTCTATATTATAAAGGGTTGACGATACAAAAACTTATGTTTGAATATACGTAATACACTACTTATAAGGTTTTTGAAAACTTTTCGACAGCCCACGACGGTTTCGTCTTTTTTGGGGCTCACCAGGTAGGTGCAGTTTCCGAGTTTCCGTCAGCCGTATGTCCTACTTGAACCCGAATTGCGCGAAATTAGCGGAATAAACTCATTTGCATGTCAATTTGGGTTTTCTTAAAAATATCACAAACGAGAGATTCAACTGGGTTCCAGGTGAGTTTCCGTCAAAACCAAATTGGTATGTGTTTCACTTCTGTTCGAAGTTACTGGATCCTTTTAAATCACTACCTCTGTATAGCAAAACATGGAAGCTTAGATGCAGATCGAAATGCAGTCTTCAACGAGCCTCTGGACAATTTCACTTAAGGTAGGTAATGAGGATGGACGGGGTTTTACTGTCTACGGATGGTCCTAGTTTATTCTTTTTAAATTGTCTAGTCTTGTCGGAAACCAGCGAGATTGTATGTGAAAATTTTGGCACAGTGTGTCCATCTTTCACCAAAGGACGGAACATTTCGACGTATAGTTTAACTGGCTAGAGCCAAGTGGTATCCAGTTAACTTCATCATCACAGGAATATACCAGTGACAGATGTAGATGCTTAACCGCCATACTGAATGTCAGAAATACGAGTGAGATTCCACCGTCAAAACAATCGGGAGCAAGAAAGCATCCCAATGAGCAATTCTAGGCATCGTGTTGATTTAAGACATTATGGGAACATTTGCGAACGTCATCCATCTTAGGCCCAATTAATATCGACATACAAACTTCAGCCAGACATTTGGGTTAAGAACGGACAGTGTGCTACCCCTTGGTGTCGATTAGGTCCCATATATTTTAGGAAATCACTTGAAACTCGGACAGAAGGACGCGAAAATTCTACAGCGTTCAAATTTGCGATAGCCGCTTTCATTTTGTACTGCCATATCGTGGATCTCTCCCTCTCGTAAACAACTGTTTTTGGCAGATGAGTTATGAATAAGTAGTGCATCTTCCAACAGCAACCTGGCACGCTTCATCTGCTGCTCCAGCGATTCCGGTTGATTACTCAGTACTCTTTCACAGAACGCTTCACTGTACGTGTATTGCAAGCAGCTAACGCCTACCATGCTACGTAGATATCGATAGCTGAATGCTTGCGGAGGGTCTCAATGATTTTGGCTTTACTGTAAGCGTCGTATGAAGGGAAATATCGTTTCAAATCAAATATCAAGCGAGTTTAATGCGCCACATCGTTTAAAGAATATTGTGAACGAAAGGTGCGGTTGCATTTACCGTTTACACTGCCTTACTTTACGAATGAGTCTTCGTTTCCGCAATACCAAAACTCTTTTAGAGAGGAAACTCCTCGCACGATATAACAGTTTCATTGTTTCATAGGATGTTCTCGTTAAACGTCGATCTCCATACCAGCATTTGGATGCTTTAGCGCAACTGTCGGACTTGTTGGATTACTCTCATCATACTCATTATACCCTTACTTTGTACTCGAGTTCAACTTAGCTGTAGGCCAAACAGAACTCTTCAGAAAGAAATTTTTTGTCTCAAGATCATGGCTTCCGCAACCTAATGCCGCCATTTCCTGCTTGTCTTCAATCCTCTTCTCACTCAACTCATAGCGAAGGCTGTTTGAGTCGTGTTGTAGCTCTTGGGAACGGCCGACAAAACCGGTGAAATCGCCAATTTGAGTTTTCATTTGTACATAGAAATTATGACAGAATAGTGATGTATCCTTATATTGACTGAGCTCTGAATAACTTTGATCCACTGCTGCATCCTAGTCACCCGTGTTTCTTTTTTATTCAGGTAGTTGACTCTCTGCTCATCAGTATCTTCAAATTTGATGTTCAGTCATTTGTCCGTGTGGCATGTGAAAAACTCGAGAGTTGGTGGCTTGTGGCCCACTTCACAAATTTGCTACACCGTACTTATCCTGATGTTCTCTGCTCCACTGGATCATCCGAAGGCATAGACACCTTTAGGGCAAAACCGGAAGACCACGGTGAGTGTAGTTTGTGTTTTTCTCTGATAAATTTTTTAGATGTTTTTTTAACCGGTTCTTGACTGCATTTTCCGCTCTGTCTAACGTGCTCATTCCTACTTTTCCTGTAGCCGAAGTATCAAGCATTCAGAACCAACAGTCAGAGTTTGCTGTTATATCCCGTGACCGCCGTTCACCATCGCTGCCTGATTTCTTCCTCATTGGTTACGCTGAATCACTGGCCTGCGACCTGGGCCTATTGCCAGTTGCATTGGGGTATCTGGACTTTTGCGAGAATGGCTCATTTCGGCAGTCTGCACTGCTATTGCGTCACGCCTGTCCTGTTTCCACAAGGGCTGTGAATTGGGTTAGTGAACACCTGTTGCATTTCACACATGACTTTCCCTGTATGCCTCAGACTGAATTTACCAATGTTACTTGGGACAGCTGTGTAACTATGTATAAACTTCAGCTGTCTTTCGCACCTAGTTGGTTATGTGAATCACTTTTTCATTTACGTTCTATCTACACACGCCCACTGACGGAGCATTTTTCGCCAGCGCCGATTTTATCTAGCTGAAGTATACCGATTTAATTTTTTATGAACCAATCAATCCGTTCAAGCGGCATGATCGAATCAGCGGATTCTAATCATCCCGTCGTTATTGACTCGAATGAAAGACCGCGTTTCGCCAACTGCGTACAATTTGGTGTGCAAGTAGGACATAAAGCTGATGGAAACTCAGGGAATGGTCCCGCCTGATTTGCCTCAAGTGAAGCGGAACCGGTAGTAGGCTGTCGAAGAGCCTTCAACAAACTTACAGATGGTGTGTTATTTCAAGAAAATAAACTGTTATACATGGAATTTTGGCGTTCCTTTTGCAGCGCATTCATTTGAAGAACATCGTAAGCGAGACATTCAGTTGAGTCTCCCCCCAACATCAAAATGAGTGTATTTCGCCGTTTACATACACTTTGAGGTTCATTTAGAACAAGGGCTAATGGAAACTGAGAATATATGCGCCAACCTGATGAGGAAGGCGGTCGTGGGCTGTCGAAGAGTTTTTCGCTACCGTATGAATAGTCCGTTCTGTCAGGGAAGGATATTTGTCTCTGCTACTTTTTATTAGTGGAGGATTCGTATGGGGAGTTGCATGTTCTGACCTCAACCGTAATTTCAGTGATTTTTATCTTGGAAGCCGTACACTGATAAGTATACCACTGAATGATTGTGGATCAGTCTAAGGCAAGTCGTGAGGGACAAAAGGAAACAACTTCAGCGGTAAGTTGGTTTCGCACACCTTCCGCGTTTGGTTCTCTATAGTTTGAAATATCTGGCGTTGAATACTGACTTGCGTTACTCGCGTGACGATTCACAATCCCTGTCTCCTGATCGTCTCTTTGCGAATCCACTGGCCCCAGCAGACTTCAGCCATAGTTCTGAGATATCAGTCGTAAGGATGAAAAAAAATAAATAAAGCGTTCAGCTGTAGCACCCTTCCGGTGCCTAGCTGCCATGCCACCCGAAGGAAGCACGAGGGCTAGGATACTGCCAGGTTGCCCAAGCCTAGACAGGGGAAGTCGAGTGGCGGAGGTCGGATTCGAACCACGAACCTTCCGGTCGGGAAATTCGCGCTCTAACCACTTGGGCCATCTCGCCCAGGGAAACCGAGTTATACACTAAGTCTTTTTAGTAACTTGGACAACCACATGGTGGAGCGTCAACAAATGTGAGGTGTTGCAGCAGGAACGTGAAAGTCACTATCCGCTTTCGCTCATCTTTATCTTACCAGACATCTGGTCATCCGTACTACATTTCATTCTTTCGACCTATCCCTGTACTTGTATTGTAATAACTGCGGCACAAATCGTGTAGTTACTTAACTGTTAGGGTTCAATTCGTAGCTCAGTCTTAGCGCTGTATACTTAAATGTTCGGACAGTTACAACCAAATTCGCCAACGTTAATCGATAGATTGCACATTCGTCTACTTCGGATATACATGTGTACAGCCTGGGTACAAGTCCGAAGGTCGCTACTCGTCACACCTTATGTGATCACTTTACTGCTATCCATAGGTTTATCTGAAAAGCATTGTTTTCAACGCTAGCCCACCCGTACATTGTTGCCCATATATCGATCAGTTTGGCACAGTCCGACCTGCTACTGTACATAACCCAACCACACCGATATAGACTGAAGTGGTTACCAACTGGCAATGGAGGTTCACTTTCTTCATGTACGTAACTGCATATACGGTATGCTAATTGTCCTGTAAACTTAAGTTACACTAACGCATAGCTGAATTTGCCGAAACCATGTAATCGGGTCCACAGAGGGGTAGTTATCTTGTCATTTTGTTTGTGTCATCCATCTTAGGTTTTTACGCGCTGCACTGGTCTACAAAGCGAGCTGTGACAATGTCTGTCATTTTTTGGGCACGGAGTATATAGTCTCCTTCACAAATATGCTTGATAATGTAGCCATCCGCAAGTTTGTTTTGGTTCTTACTGATATGTAATTTGCCTTATTTTACAGTTTCTCAGTCAAGCCAGATCTCGTTCACTCCATGAGACCAGTAAGCAGTTAGCTGGAATAGCGACACGCCGTTTCCTGCCGCTGGTGCTGCATGATTTTGATAAAGCCAGTGGAAATGGGGACAAAATTGTTTACAACTGCCTTCCGTCGTGTGCCACAATAGGCTGGGCGTTGATGGCGCGAGACCTCGGTATTGTGGCTCGTATCGCAGAGTATACGCTGGCCCGAGACAAAGAATTTTGTGTCGAAAGTCCGTCTGAAGACCCGTACCCGCATCCCACGGAGATTGCCGAAATGGCTGCAATCGTTTTGGGTTTCTGCAACGATCAGGCATTACGAAGTGTTCCTCCCTCACAATCATTTCAACCTGCAACCAGTCTTAGTGAACTTTGTTTGTCTTCTGAGCTGGCTTTCCTCGTGCGCTATGCCAAACTACAGCAATGTTTTGCCAGTGGTGATATTGAGACTGCTGTCGATCGGTTGATCGATTTACTGATCACCGGCTCTGGAAGTTCCAGTGCGGTGGAACTTGGTGCCGCTTCGTGCGGTTCAGGTTCGCTTATATCCACCCGTCTGCGTCTACGTTTGCTCACTGAAGTTCGTCACCTGCTGGGGCGTAGATGCATTCGACGGGACCAAGCAGAACTTTTGATTAGTGCTCTTGTGGACTTGCGCCTGGATACCTGCGAAGACCCGACTGAGGATAATAAAAAGCTGAATGACCTACTGGTGCACATTCACATCCTTCTGGCCCAAGAATTAACCTCCTCGTTGCTTGTTCGAGAATCACAGATTAATAACGTGGTTCTTGGCGGTGTGGTTTAAAACAATCCGGACTAGTTGCTATCGATTTCTAATCCGATGTTTATTGTACATATCTGGTTCTCATGCAATTCATGTCTTGCATTTCGTCAATCGATGTACCTACACTTCTGGATGAAAGCCCGTTCCAATGTTATATTTCGTCAGAATCACAAATGAGCGTTTATGCATCAGTATGGTAACCGGCGTAGAACGATGGGAACAGTGGGTTGAGTTTTCTGATGATTTCTCGCCAGGGGGTTTCGTTTGCCTTGCCGTAAATTACCAGATTGTATACCGGTTGCACTTTGGATCCCGTGCATTTGTCGCCTAGTGATGCTAGCTATGCAAGATGCTCCTCCGTTGTTACCTCTGTTGTTTCTCTGGATGTCTGCGTTATTTCTCTAACTTTCTAGGTGCACGCCACATCTCATGCCAGTTTACCCGCCAGTTTACCCATTTGAGAGCCTTCTTTTGTGTAGAGTTGATCCTGCAAAATGAATAACCGCCATACTATTTAATTTAATTCGGTAATCCGTGAATTTTCCCTCAACTTGTCACAGAGGATTTTCCCAGCGATCTAGCTCACTGGCTACCAAGCGGTGCCAAATTGTATAAATTGAGCCCTTTCAGTCGAGCCTGATGCTCACTATCAACGCCTAGACCGTTTTTTTCCGATAAACCGAAATCATTATTTTGATGAAATAGGTCTTGAGTACTACAAGTGGCTGCTGTGTTCCGAGATTTTAGTTTTCTTTACTAATGTAAATGCGACATACACCCATTGAGCCGGCATTGCTTGTGACGATATCCTCCCCTTACTGGTCATATAGCGGAGCTTTTCATCAGCTACCATCCAAAGCTGGTGGATTCGTCATTCGCCCTTCTCAAGAAGCATCATGTGTCTAATTTTGGAACGCAAACTCCGGGCCACGAGTGAGTTTCAGTAAAATATGCAGTGCATTCCGTACTTGAGCCCACGATTTATCACATGCTTTGGAGCTTCTACACTATTTTCGTGATCACAGTTGGAACAGTTTCTTCATTTAGTTTCCTGTGACCTTACTGGATGCATTTCTGTCTTACTTTGACCTTATCAACATTCGTAATTTCCCCGTTAGCATTATAGCTCAATTAGACCGTGGTTATAAACACAGTTATTTTATTTTCCTTACGCACACGTGATCTGCTTTAGTCCTCTGACTGATATAAGTCAGCCACCTTTCTCAACCTATATTCTAAGACCTTCCACGACTTCTTCATTAGGAGAACCTCTCAAATGCTCAACAAAAGGAACTTTTACGGCCCAAGAACAATCGCTTTTTTCGGCTTGATCCAGTAAATAGCTTATTTCACCACCCTCTACGATGGTATCCTACACATCTACGGCTGTGTGAGAACCGCACGTGAACCTAAAAAATAAGGGCCATTTTTTACTGATTGCTGTATGCGGGCAGTCCCGCAGTGTAGTTGGAAGTATGTGAGGTGGTTGGCCAGGAGAGCAAATAGTCCCTTAGGAGGTAGCCTTGTGCTAGCTAACTGCATAATTATTCAGCCGACCGACCAGTCAGCCGATATTTCAAATCAGCTGGTACCAACTGATGATCCTTTTTACCAGAATAGACTCGATACTTTTTTCTTTTCGTCCCATTATGTTAAAATGAACCATTTGAAACCAAGCATTTCCATACCCTTACTACTTGTTTATTTCGGTTTAATCAATCAAAACCTATCCACAAATTTCCGTCTCATTGAGCGTCCTACCTTCGTTCTCAGTCTGAGCACTTCGTTTAATATACCATTCCTTACGTCATTCGACGTTTCGTGTCCTGGAAACATGCCAGGGTTTAACAATTTATCTGGTTGCTTAAAAGCTGTGCAGACAATCAGCGATGATATGATTTACCCTGTCATATTTTATTGACTTTGATGTCTAGCGTCACTATTGGCCATCTTGTACTGAAATAGTCACTGTATTTCAATTGGTGGATAGCATTGTTGATGATACTTTAAATACCGAAGTGAACAGTTGAAATTGCAACAACAGCTGATTTTGTGGGCTTGCGTCAGCCACTGTAATGAGCAACCGGTCGGTGTCATTGTACATCAGTAATGTGTCCAAAGCGACATGGTTCAATGGCGGTTCGACCCCGACCTCCGCCTCTCGATTTCTCCTGTCTAGACTCGACCTGACAGTATCCCAGCCCTTACGCTTCCTTTGGCTTGTATGACAGCTAGGCACTGAGAGTGTGTTACAGCTGAACGATTATTTTCAGTAGTGTATCCTGCAAACGATTTTAAAATGCTAATGTGTTAAAAAAAACATTAATTCTGAAACGAGGATGAATGGGAGAGACGCAACTTCTGAAAGGGTGATTGGAACAGGATGAGCTGTTTTAGCTGAGAAAATCACATATGCATTATGATGAGAGTCCTGGAGCTTTAAATATTCTAGTGGCCAACCCCAACTTAAGGCGGGTGAAAGATTTCAGCACACTCCATAATCTCTTTTAAGGCTACGAGTTCGACTCACTGTTACAGGTAGATATTCTATTCTTTAAATGAGTTATATAAACTTTTCTCTGATGGGTGCCTTTATTTTTTGACAAGTAACTTAATAGTTTTTGCGACAGGATATTCGTATGTGATTTCTTTTGATGAAAGTTTACTGTTTTGACGAAAGAATTGCTAATGAGTCGCACTTGACTGGCAGTACCTGTTTTTCAAAATGCACCATAGCGTCATAGCGAGTTTGAGTCGTAGTATATTCCTCCGCTTTCTCTTAATCATGCAAATGTGTCCGTCTACGGTACTTCCGCGTATTGGTTCCCACGCTTTTTTATAATCGACCGGAAGTTCACGCTACTGATACCCGATGACTCGATGGTTTAGAACGTTAGATGGCCCCACCCAGTTTGGTTTGCATGGGCACGAGACCCAACTGCTGTCCGCCGTTTAGTTCACCTGATACGGGTGATGTGACCTGATTCGTGGCAGTTCCCTGTTTCGTGTGATCTAGTTCACGGTTCTTACAGGGTTGGCGCCACTCAACACGTGCAGCCTTAAAACGCCAATGGTTCACCTCTCCCTATTTACGTTTGCAAATAAAGCCATCCCTACAGCACAACATTCGAGATGCACACGCGCCTACGGGTATTCAACTTTCCGTCCGCGCCGATTACAAACGTCTTATGAATAATGCATTAGTGGTCTTGGCTTGTTTTGTTTTGTTTTTCGTTGGAACCACCTGACACGTTAGTCTGTATTTCTCTGAGGCCGGTGCATCTACGAATTTCTAAGACCAGCTAAGCTGAAAAGTCAACGTCCTGTTTGTGTGAGATAATCGGAAGGTCAAAGAGTGACAAGTGCCTTTAACGGTCAAAGTATATCAGTAAATTTAGGAGTGAGTGTCTGTCCGTTTACTGATATCATTTTTAAGGTTACATCTCATGTCGTACGGCTTTCCGAGTGGCATGATGTGCTGTGGCTGATCTGAATAAGTTTGCGAGCCTGAGCATTCTTCAGCCGTCAAAACTACCGATTCTCAATGGAAATGATGGACAAGATGGCCCAAGTGGTTCGAATCCGACCTCCGCCTCTGGACTTCCCCTGTCTAGGCTTGGACAACCTGACAGTATCCCAGCCCTCGTGCTTCCTTCGGCTGGCATGGCAGCTAGGCACCGGAAGTGTGCTACAGCTGAACTCTGTTCAGTCTGCCCGAGGCTACTTCATTTCCAGCGGTGAAATCACTTGGCCGATAAGGATTTCAGGCCTTACTTCTCAACGAAGTTTTGAAACTAATTTACTTCAGCTAATTCCTGTATAGCTTTGCAGATCAGCATCATCTTAAGATTTTCACCTATCATTTGTTCTCGTGTGTTATTTCGACTGCGGTTTGTATTTTTCAGTCTTCTAGACTGGCTTATGGACGAACTTGGCTCCCATTTCTTTTCAGAGATTTCTTTCCTGCAATGACCTGTTTAGTCGATACCATGTGCAGCTCAACTTTTGGGTTAAGGTATCCAAGTTTTAGGGCTGTGAGTTTCAAATTGTGTGTGCTTTTATTTTTGGACGAGCTTTCTATTCGCCCGGTTGTTCTGCACTGACCCACCGCTGCGCCCCAGTTCGCCTCCTAACAACGCAGCGCTGATGTCACTTCGATTAGTGATGAAACATCTGCAATCAACTCTTCTAACTCAGTGAACTCGGAGTTTTGGTTAGCCTTCTGACCATTGAATTGTTCGTTCAAAGGAGGACTTCAGAATGTGTGGTAAACTGGATCCATATTGATACGTTCGTTTGGTTTTTCTGTTGAGTACCATTTCTGATGAGCCCTGGTAACTGATTAGATTTCGTCCAGTCTTCTTATTTGGAAACAAGTGACGTTGGGTCGTGCTGTTCATGTGTTTGGGCGATATCTGGTGAAGAGTTCTTCCTTCGTTAGTTGTGTTACAGACTGTGTCGATGCAATCTAGCAACGCTCGAACGCAACGTTGTGGCAGTAAGCGTGATTGTTAATATAGGTGCAAATGTTATTCGTGCGCTTTTCTCTCCCGTCTACTTTGGTGTGTGGTTGTCCATTGGGTGTTCCGGTGACGCAAATCCAGTTTTCCATTCTCCCCCCTCTTCGTTCTGAAGTAACAGCGAGTCCATGTTTCACTCAAATATCGAACCGTTACTAACGGGTTATATCCGGCACCAGCATCTGTATCAACCTTTGCATGCTAAATTTTTCAGTAAACCCCGGGATTAATGCTCCCATGAACTTTTAGTACGTTTTGCCACTAGCCACATGCTTCTCTTATTTCGCCCCTCACACACGTCAGGAAGGCTCAGTGCTGGGTGGTAAGGTACGCCGCGTAGTAAAATTATGTAGCTTAAACGCCCGAGCATGTTTATTGTTCTACCCTATACTTGTGCCTATTAAGTTCATAGAAAAATTCAGTCGCTTTACAGTGACGCAAGAAGTAAGCACAGTCGTACAGGTGGACTGAATTCTGAAGAGAAATTTAACTGCATATCAACGAAGTCGATGGTGAACTGTCGAAGGGTTTTTAACAGCCGTGTAACTAATGTTTAGACAAGTAGTAATTAGTTCACGTGCATGTGCGCAATCGTGGTCGATTTTCTGTTCATGTTGTCTGTCTTGACCGATCAAGTGCAAGGAGAGTGGCCACCCTCAAACCGGTCAACCAACCAACCAGTACACTCGGTTGACCAGAACCTTTTCTTAGTAGATTGCGTTGTAGTTCTACTTAATGGACCTGCTAACCACCTCGTTTTGCCTCTGGATGTATGGATTCGTTTGGATAGTCCGCTTAAGCACACGAAAGCGAGTGATAGGGTTTTTCATCTGGTTTCCGATTATCTTCCTCAAGAGTGCCACAGAATTTACTGTATTGGGATCGACTGGCTATACTTAACACGAAAATCTGTCCGGTGAATGTTGAAAGAGTAGTGGGGAATTGGCGTCATCTATCAAAATAATGGTTGCTCATCAGGTAGTCTCCTAGTTGTCTGATAATGGGTTTTGATCAACCGATACGATTTCTAGTTATACCTGCCGCAGGCTGTACCCCTTGAGGTTACTAGTCAAGATTGGCAACTTGGTTGGAGTTTAGTCTATAAGGACGGAAGGTTACGTTAGGTGAAAACTGAATCCAGAACATGAAGAAATGTCCTTTCTGAAGTTCTCAGACTTATATGCAATCAATAAGGAATATTCAGTGAAATTTGTTTGCTTGAATGATCGTTAGCCTATAAGTCCCACCGCAAGAAACTGGATGCTCTCTTCGCCCCTTTGTTTCATTCCGTTACCTATAAAGCCCAAGCAACAGTTTAGTACAGTGGTGTAGAAGCTAGATCGTATTGATGTAGGAGGCTTCCAGTTATTGTGGTGGTCCAGTGATTAGTGCATTAAAACATCTTGTGTTACGAGGCCAAGGTTTTTGAAATATGGGATTTTGCCCGAGAAGGTGTGGCACGTTTGATGACAAGGGAACTTCAACCCGAAGGGTATGACAGTCAGTCAGCTGTTGATCCGGTGGCAGTTGATCTGTCTGCCTCGTTTGGCCTGCAAACTTTTCGTCACCGTACGAGATGATATCATCAGTGGTTAATTGGGTAGGTAATTTCTTCTGCTTGGGTTTACGTAGCTTTTAATGACTACTTACTATATTTAGCGTAATTAGCTGTTCGGGAATCGGCTAGTAAGTAATTCGCTAGGTCCTTCTGGGATTCGTGCTGCGTAATTGCCAGAGTATCCTGCTTCTGACTGGTTTGCTGAGTGCCTTAATTACTGTATCTCTGCTACATTCCATTTGATCTGTTTTACCTTTCCCGTGTGTTGCGTTTTAGCCAGCCTTCTTGTTATTGTATGGTATATAGGACGCTTTTACTGCTATTTTTCGTTGATTTGATTGGTCCGTTTGCCATTTCTGTTGCGTTGTGTTATTGTTTTGTGACTCGCGATAGGTTCCCGAGGTACTCTTCCGGTTGGCGCAATTTCTGCCTGTTGTTCTGTTAGGACCCCTGATTCGTGTTCGACATGAATGCATGCTGCAGTAGTATTGATTCTGTCCAGTACTTCCTCCTCGTGCCTTCTGACGGCTCCTCTCTTTTTTGTACAGTTCCGAGTTTGAGTGCCCAGGAATTTGTTCCTAGGCTTCTGAGTAGAAGTGAAAGACCCTTTTATATCAATTATGGATATTTTTTTGGGATGGAAGGAACGCTGAATGTCGCAGCGCCCCAAAGAAAGTTGCTTTCCTTTCGGCTCCACAACCGTATTAATTTTCTCTAGGTACGGTTGAAAAACATTTCCTCCAGAACGTCTCTGGAAAAAGGGTATACTATCTCCTACCTGCCGTATTCAGTTCCGAACGAATATTTCACTTTGAACCATTTGTAGTGGTAACCTGTAGCCGTAAGCTGTTTAAAATGTTATTATACTCCTGGAGTCGCCGACCTCGGTGTGTGCGTTGTCTTTGTAACGTACCGTAGCCTTAACACACCCGTTTGCATTCCGATTCGGTTTTAACTGGGGACTCACCTGGAACCCAGCTGAATCCCTCATTCATGATAATTTTAAGCATGAACCGAAAGTCTAAACGTTTTGATAGATGTTGAGTCATATTAATTCCTTCGTAGCTAAAAGATCGGTGAAGCAAACATGATGACATGCTGAGCTAGGTCAGCGCACACGTGTATACATGACAACCACTAATATAAAACACCGGTCGTCTATTGCATGCATCGGTACGAACAGCCATATTAACACTTGTCAGGCTGGGTGACTTGGTAACGTGTGCATGCCCACTGAGTACACGCAGTTTGCGGTACAGTGGGTAACTTTACAGACAACCGACTTCTCGTATGACGGAGATTCTGATTGATTCTGTCCATTTATTTCACTTGACCCGACTGGGAAAAAATGATAACTTATGCTATTGAGCTCCGGTGTTTGAATCTACAACGGTCGGAAGGTTGTGTCTATTTCAGTATTGTGTTGTCGAAAATCTTCTGTTGTCTTCTGTGGTGCCCCAGGAGCTTAAATCTTAAACGTTTATCCAGCTGGTGCGACGTAAACAACGGCTACGCCGAAATGTTACTCCACTTGCTCTCAGATCGAATTGTAAACTTTTCAACAGCCAGGGCATAAATCTGACGAGTATTCGGCATTACTTTATCCTTATTTGTACCGAAATCCAACTTCTCAATTCTCCAGACAATTCAAACCCTGCATCAAGTTATACTTTGGGAACATACTTTCATAGAAATTTGACTATGAGCACTTAGTCAATTCCCTAAAGGGAGCATTTTCAAAGTGAGTTGGTGCTAACCGGAGGTTCAACAGAACCATACCTGAACTTCTCCTTTTGAGATATACTTCAACGCCATACGAAATAGCACCAACTAAAACGTGAGGTGGCCTCATGTTGAACAGAGGGCTGATTCACAAATGAAAATGTGCCAGGATATGTGACGCAGAAATGAAAATATACTAACCACTATCAGTCAACATTTTGTGGCGGCATGCTAGACCGTCACTTGTTCAAACACCCATTCCCGCCTTGCCTGGTGCGATAGCGGGAGCAAGTAGTTCAGTACATTTGGCGTAATCCCGGCTTTGTAATTGCGGTGACGGTGTTTAGCTTGGAATACCACACTTGGTCACCTCCGACAGACGGATTCTTGTTGAAATTATTTGCTGCTAGCGTTAAGTAGATGAACAAATACAGCCACGAGGCTTCTAGGTGCGAGTAGTGCAAATCGAGGCTAAGTAAACTTGATAATAAAGTAACGGACGAGTGAATTGAATGAAATCTGAGAAGCAGAAAAAAGGCACATAGGGAGAATCCTGGTGGGAGAGATCCACATCGCCTGTGCACGAAGAAATGGTAGTATAAAAGCAGTAAAACTGGATAAGCATGCTTCGTAGCCCAACGGTTTATTCAACACCGAATGACAAAACAGCAGGCTGGTTCCGAGATCACGGCAACTGATCCGATCAATAAACATTTGCCAAAAGACGAGTATTTTATCTCCAGTCACCATATGTTGAAAATTACGTCCCAAGAGTGCTCCTGTAGAGATGGAATACCTTCAGATACTAACAGACATAACAGGTTTATTCAAAAAGTAACTCCTTCGCTCAAGGGTCATTCACTTGCCATTAAAACAAGAGATCCTGTCGACATACCAGAATAGGTATATCCCCATCCATAAAAGGATCAATTAGACCAGGTCCCACGGATTTTCCCCATTTGTATTCCACCATCCATATGGTGATTCATATTAAACCGGCTGTCTTTTGGTAGTATTTCGCGGGGAAGAAGACAATTTTCATCGATCCGTATTTTTGTGCCGTCGACTATTCTTTTAAAAAAAGGATAGCGTAGCGGAGAACGTTCGACTGAAACTTCGGTTTGTGTACACACTACATGCTACATATGAGGATTACATTCTTCACCAAAGTTGCCCAAAACAGACTCGTCTACTTAGTCAGTATATATTAGATAAACTCTAGAGCGAGCAGCAGTTGCTAGCTGGGAACAAACGATGAAGCATGACTTGGTCGATACCTGACTAGTTTTATATTATTGTCCCTATAGGCAGTAATTTGAACTCATCTCTCTTCTGGTAAGACGCAGTGTTAAGTCCAGATGGACATACAAAATCCAACTTGAAATGTATTGACTTCCGATTTTCATGATTTTCGGAATCAACCAAGTAGACTGAGTCTATATAGTCCCACTTTTGTAGATCTATTAGCCCAAACACTATGCATTCGAGTCAATAACCCTCTTTTTGCATGAATGCTACTGGGGCCCAATCGCTGAATTAGGAGAGGGACAATAAACATCCGTCTGTAGATGATCGATTGGGATATTCACTTGTTATTTTTTTCATCCCCAATACTGAGGGGCTTTATGTTATTCCAAAATGACGTCTGCGGCTGGATGATTAGGGTAGGACAAGAAATTTACTCATTTCTCCCACAGCGCACGAAAGCAACTGGATATACGCGCACATGTGGAGTGACCAATTTTCATACGAGTAATGTTTGGATGCAGAGGCTCCAGGAATCATATGGTATCCATTCGGAATTTTTGACCGGGGAATCTCCTTTCTTTCCCTTAAAAAAAGTGTTAGATATTTCTACGGTACACAGCGTTGAGTATTCCCCTTTCACTTGGCTAATTGGTTGTCGACGGGAACTGCGGTGTTTGTCCGAAATTTTTTCTGGAACGCACTTCGTCAAAACTCAAGCACTTTATGAAGCAGAATCTCTGAAGGACACATTACCTAAAGATTATATATATATATATATATATANTATATATATATATATATATGCATATCTGATTTGCCAGTCAGGAATGGCTGATTGTTGGGTGCGTACTGTTTGCTCGACAGCCACAGACATTTTGTATGAAGCCGAATGTAGAGCTGCTTTCAACCGGTTAGTCGAACAGTGCTCCCCGACTGTATCGGATGCGTCGGTCGTAAGTAATGACAGAGCCTCAGGATGTGGTCAGGCTATGTTGAAGATTACCAGTTTTAGACACCTGAATCCTCGAAAGGTATTCTCAGTAATCGGGAAAGTTTTACTTTTACCACGTAAACGATCGGTGCGTGGGTGCAAAAGAGTAGTACCGCCGGGGATAAGATTTCTGTAATAGTTTACTAAACCAAACGGACGACGAAGATCGGAACTACACGCAATTGCACACCGATTTGATTTTTGAGCGAGACTCACCTGAAACCCAGTCAACCAATCGTTTATGATGTTCGACAAATTTTTTTCGGTAACTATATGAATAGTATGTTACTTCTTAACTACAAAAATGTTCGAATGAGTTCCGCACTGGATATCCAAAAATTGCATGCATCTTTGACGGCAGAGCTGTTTTCGCTGAGGAAACGCAATGCTATAGGAACTCAAGAGGACTCCTAGCTAGTTAAAATTTGTCGGTATTGCTAGTGGTAACCAATACGGGCAAACAGCTGGTGCAAATGTTGAAGATGTTCATCCTTTGAAGCAATGGTGATCACAACACCATCAATGTATGACTATACGAAATCAAAGTCACGACAGACATCCTATATGAATCGCCGGAAGTTCTTGTCAGCATAGCCCAGGCCAAATGGTATACGGCAGAAAGTGGAAAACGGTTTCGTGACCGTGATTTGGGATTGTCGAACTCAGCTACTGAAGCGTGTTAATAGTCTCGAAACTGGTCGACCATGCTAACAACCCACGAGTCCTTCGGGCTGAAAGCGATTTTCTGAATCTGTGGTATGGGGTTCAGTTCTCGGTACTCGAAGCCTGAGGAAGGCAAAGCATATGACTGAACGCCACTTTAACCATTTCGAGTTCTTCAGGCGGCAGTTTGCGGGGACAAGAACTCAAAGGCTGGCTACTTTTGAAAATATAACTTTCGACCCTCAGCTTGACTTTTCACCGTTCCTGCGTTGGACAAAAGGGACAAGAGAGGTATCTTGTGAACAGAATGCAAATGCAAACTCTACATAGTGTGGATAACATCTGGCCGATAACCCCAGTGTTTGCGTAACTAGCCCGTATTTCTTGGTTAATGATGTGGTCAGCTGAGTCTGAGAACAAAAATGCCATTCGTATAATCTACTGGGCATCTTCGAACCTATCAAACTTTGTTGGGTTCAAATTGTTATCAGTTTTAAACGCCGTTGAAATCCGGTTACACAACTCACAGTTCTACGCTAAGAAGTTGGTTTGAAATATGAACAAGTCAGTCCAGCTTCGCTCTCGAATTGACGAGTACGACATTTTTATGAGTGAACCTTCTTACCCTTTCGTTCTAATTACCAGAAAAATTCTGCATTCTTCATGAACACGAGTTTAACTTCGTGATCTTCTGGAATACTGACAGTCACCTAAACTTAGCTTCTTTTGTCGTGCTGTTTGTTCGGATGATTTCCACTTCCTGGATAATCAGTGTGTAAGACACTAGTCCGACTAGAACCGCCATATCACAATTCTACATTAACGAGAATGTGTTAAGACAACAGGCCGAGTTCGAATAACCAGAAGAATTTTTCATCTAGAATGGATATCCAATCCGCTTTGTATACGAATATAAAACAAATGACACGCCGGCCGAGATTAGCATCGGCTGAAAAGAAATCAATTCAGATCTATTTGAATTTCACATGTGACCCTGTAGCCGAAACGGCATCGGATGTGCTCCCACCAGTTATCAAAACGACTAACGCAGAAGGAAATTTAAGTGCAGTCTTCCTACCGAAACATATTCTGAGCAAGTGAGTAGAGGAAAGTTTGACCTGAGTCTTTTATGCACTCACCCGGATGCGATGCATTGTAAATGAAATTGGTCGTAAACCTCATGATTGTCTCAGTCACCGTAAGCAGCACCAAGTTTTTCGACAAAAAAAATTTAGAATTAAAAGACGTAGTTGGTCTCAATACGTCTGATTGACTTAAATGATAATGTGCACGACCTAAAGCTACCACCTTGACATGGTGATCGGACCTGAGTGCCGCAATGGTCTCGCGGGCTACACTGACTGAAACCTCGTTCCACAAGGTGCAACCATGCCGGGAAGGCCAAAGGGAAAAGCCACACACGTACTACGAGTAATCACGCGACGAGGCAGTCTGGGGGGGGGGAAGTCGTACTGTCCTCTGCGATAGGAGTGTGAAGACAGTAAGGCGTTTCCCCCAGGCGACCAGCATGTCCATATTTATGGAAGCAGCGATGCTGTCTTCCCCCGAGGAAGGACGGGTTAGAAAAGGTCGGCCCCAAAAACCGCACACTCCGATCGCCCAACGGTTGACCGTGACCGCCGGCGCATTATCCAATACGG